AATGGTGATACCAGGAGTGAAGTTTTTCAACAGTGAACAGCCTTTTGTGAACATATTGAAAACCATCCCTGAACAATGTGTTAACCTATTCGACTATTTTGTGTTAAATATTATAGCCATCAGAATCATGTGCAATTGATCCATACAATAGAAATCAGCAGCAACCAGCTCTAAAATGAGTCTAAACCAAGAAATAATTCAACACCAAAGGCATCCTGACATTACTGTGGATTTAATAGTAGATACAACAATATTACTTTCAGGCTTTGAGGAAAACATTGATCAAATGAACTAGGATTTCAGTTAATGTATTTACACAGTATATTATCATAAATTTTATGATTTGATATCATTTTGTAATCCTAAGTTCATCTAATTGAAAATATCTATCTCATCAATCTGCATAGTTCATTATGTTTTGTATATTTTGGAACTGAATTAATAATAATTTTCAAAAATGAAAGTACATTGACATAACATGTGTTTTACTGTACTTATGCCACTCCAAAGAAGTCCAGAAAGAAGTACCTACAAATAGAAGGATAGTCCAGTATGCTCATGTATACTGTTTTCCCCTGAATTATTTTACAAGATACCTTCATAAAAATTTACAATTATAAATGAATTTGAAATCCAGGACTTTCATATTATGTAGAAATAAATTAACAATGAGCAAAAGTAAGTATCTTTCTGGTAGGTACCTATTTTAAAAGGAATCAGTAAAGATTATAAAGTGAAACTTTGAAATTGCATCAAAAAAGAATGAGGTGTTGATTGAGGTAGTTGTGGAATTGAAATATGAATTTTGAAAACCTACAATAAAACATTACAAAACAGAAAAAAAGTAGAATGTTTAATTATGAATAAATATAGTTTAATAATAACATACAAGCAGTAAAATTATGAATAAATTTTTCCAAGATACAATGAAATGTCATGGATATGTTCAAGTACCCAAATAATCAGTGATATATCCTTAAAAACTTGAATTCAATGTCAAGGAATCTGGGTTTTGGTTTCAATTTGTGTAACTAATTGCACTCAATTGCAAGATACCCTGGATGGCAACTCCTCCCCTGCTGAAAAATTGAAGAAATATTAGTACCTACTATAAACAAACCATATCTATTAGCTATTACACAATCTAAATATTCAAATAGAAATAGATTGTGTCACTTCAATGTATGTTCAAAGATTCAATTCAAGCTATGAAGTAAGCTACCTACAATGACCTGCTTGTACCAGGGTTATTATATATCTATAAAATATGCTACTGTTTTTGCTCATATCATAGATTAACGACTCGTCCTTAATCTATGCTCATATGAATGTAATTGGAGCTGTATTTTAACTTAATCATTTTGGAAGTACATGCAATCTGCATTGGCTATTTTACTACAAAGATGATACTACAAAATAGGAATCTATGAAGGCCTAGGCAGGATGTCATGAACAAGATTTTTATATGAGTCAAGCATTACAAATAAAACTATAAATTACCCATCTGCACATGTTCATAATGTATTTTTTCTTGCCCAGCTTTGCATATTGCAGTTCAAAAGTCAAAGGCATTGAATTTGCTTCATTTTTCTTATAAAAATATTTGAAATAAAGACAACCATACTTATTTTTCCAAGTCCTAGTTTCTGGAGACATTTTCCCATAAACAAAATAGGTATGAACTGTTGATAATTTCAATCATGTTCTCTCTCTCAGATAGGCACTGCAAATGAGAGTTATTCATCAGTAATAAATATATCAATGAATCACAAATTTACCTTATTGTTATCATTATTGGACCAATGAAGTGAAGAAAGGTAGGAAGTTTTTGTTGGAGCTGCATGCTGCATACATCCAGTTTTCAAACTCATATTGGATTCTCAACGTTTATCCATTTTTTCCATTCAGCTGAACTGATTTTTCATCATCAGAAAAGACTTCTTGAGTGCAGGAAATTCATATTAGAGGACATTATAGGTCCTACATTTTTCCATTGGAACCTTCTACTAGTTCAAACAGCAACCAAACACAGTTGATTTCGCGTATTATCAGAGATTTGTTGATACTCATTTATAAAATAATATAGAATTGATTTGGCAATTGATATAAAGTTCATGTCTTGTACTCAAGAGAAGGAAGAAGAGAAAATTAACGTAATTTGTTGAATGGTATTCATAAAATATGAAACCTACTGAACACAATAACAAACATGACCTTGAATTACGTCCTAAACTGGTTCAAATTTGCCCACCAGGTGCCGTATCGGAATCGTCACCTTGCCAATTGGTTCGTGATTTTCGCGAATATCAATTGTAAATATAGCTGTCTGATAGTTTGAAATCGGTATAGTTGACAATGGAATAAACATGAGGTACAGTTGTCTTCAGAAAACATGTCACAATTGGACGTTATGCTCTTATTTCAAAAGTTATTGAAATTACTATTGTTATACAGGGTGACATAGAAAAAAGTACATTGCATAGTGCCATACAATAGAGGATACTGAAATAAGAAAAAAAGTTCCTATGAACATGGGTCTGCAAGGCCTTCGGTTGAAAGATACGGGGTGTTAAATTTAAATTGTTTTTTGGGTTTTCTTTGAATATCTTCAGCCAGAGACGCAAGAAATGGATGAAATGTAGTACAAGGGTTTTTTATCATGCTAAATTCAAATATGATCTTAGTTTTGTTATGACTGATAGAGGGCGCTACATACAGGGTTCCATCCCTATTGAATCGGTTGTAATGAAGTGTTTTTGACCAGCTTCATTACTAGACTGGTTTTGATCAAAATCTAAGTACCTGAGCCTGATTCTAGTTGAATTTCACCTGTTCGAAAGCTCGAAACCTGAAAACCTGAGAGAGCTGAGTAATGCATTGATTCCTGACTTCACAAAGCTTCTCCTGATAGTAAACTCTCATGAACATCATTACAACCCTAAAGACTTCCATATTTTTCAACCGTTTGCTTATGATATGAAATTTGATTGAATTATTTATCAGTGGAAATGATGAATGTTTGACTGCTCCTAACTTTGTTGTTATTGAATATTTTCCAGCCAAATTCATTCAGTAGCATAAGCAAAGGTAGTAGATCCTGTTCCTGTGCCCATTTAGGGTGGAATATTATTTTTTCCGCGTTTTGTGTTGGAGGTGCACATGTGTTTTCAAGGACAGATTTAGTGGCCATGGCCATGAGCCATGACAGGGTGGGAGTTCTGACCAATGAGATTCCAGATTTACTTGTCCTTGTGCCAAGGCCAAAGCAGTGCATAAATACTGAAGACAGCCAAGGATTCCGGACACTCTCAAAGCTCTTTTCTACAAGTCTACACTACCTGATCTCCGTTGCTCTTCAAGCTCCTGATTCTCTAGCTGATCTTTTAGTGCTCTCATAGTTCATTCAAAACCAGTGTAAAATAGTATTGTATAGTGATTTCCTGTTACACATGTAAGTTTGTATATTTTTCACCAGTGTTATTCATCCTGTTTATAGCCTCATTTCATTCCTGTTGTTTTTCACACCGATACTCACCCGACCTGTGTAAAGAATCCAGAACTCTAAATTGAATAAACGGATTTTGTGATTGCATATTTCATATTTCCTTCTCTGTTGTCATTGTTTTCAGTTCCAAATAACTCAATAATTTATTTAGTGATTTTCAATATTTTCATTTGTCAAATTTCTGATTATTATTATTGACGGACGGCTGACGGTGACGGCTGACACTGACAAGCCAGTGGTCAACTCTTCTTCTTCTTTTCCTTGAGAAATCCAGTCCTGTGCACCGGTGTCTCTGTGCTTTGTATCCCGTCAGGCGGTGTTCTATGTTTCATGAACTATTGACATTAATGGAAAAATATAATTAATTAACCTCACTAAAAATCCGATATTAGAAAATTAAAAAAATCGAAGAAAAAGAAAAGATAAATAGAAATTGAATCTGTTTAATTCGTTTAGAACTGTGTTTCCGATTCTCCAGGTAGAAATGATGAAATACTTTGAATAAATAATTTTCCAGACCTAACCCTAAAATACCAGCAACCTGAGAGATATTTTGCTTTGATTCCTGTAATTATCCAGACCAGAAATAGCAACCAGTATTCCAGGCTAAACCCAGGGTTTGTAATTAAAGCCTACACTCCCTTGGCTACTTATTGATTCCAGGTCGATTCAATACCATATTGACCCCTGGATTATACTGTGGGTACCGAGGTAGGTATACCTCCTGTACCTTTCTCTACTGTTGCTACTGTGGGCCTCCTTCCCGACTAAGTTGGGGGGAGCAGGTGAAGTAAATCACCTTTATCAAAAATCTGGCGCTCGAGAATCCCCCCTGTCAAATACCAGAGTAGTCTCCTGTCCTGAACAGAGCGCCAAAGTAAGGGCCCCAGAATAAAGACTCTTACACGGTCGTAACTTTTTTGCTATACACTGTATGTCATTTTCGACGGAAAAAATTTGTTATCCGTTCTTTTATACTTGAGAAAGGTATACCTTGTTCAAGTCGCTAGAAGCAATGGTTCCAGTACAAATGCATCTAAAAGCCGGCAATGCACGCAAATTATTCAAAAAGCGCCAAAGTAACTTTTGCAAAAACAATGAAAAATACTTCAACAATTACATTTTAATGGTATAATGAAAAATATAATTAAACAGAACAAAACATTAAGTTTTTAGAAGATTTTCAAATTGTTGCCCTTGTACTTCAATACATTTTGCCATTAAAATTCAACACCCCGTATCTTTTGACCGAAGGCCTTGCGGACCCATGTTCATAGGAACTTTTTTTCTTATTTTAGTGTCCTCTAATGTGTGGCACTATGCAATGTACTTTTTTCTATGTCACCCTGTATATGAACCATAAATATGATTTTTGAAGAAAACTCTTTTAAAAAGTTTTACCTTCAAAAGAGAAGGGAAATATTTAGGCTTCAGGTCATTGACAGAAGTCTTTCACCTGTCAATAATGAATTTTATAAAGAGTAAATAATTTCAGGTCCTCTCTTACCATGCGACTGCAAGTGTTGAGGAGGCGCAAAAATTGAGGGTAAGCCAAAAGGTGTAGTATATTTTACTCGAAATTTTATCGCACGTTGAGAACAATAGCGTGACAACTCAAAAAAGTTGATAATTTGTTAGGTACTAACTGCAACAGATTATGAATGTTGAGATTCTTATAATTTTAATGATTTGGCCGTTGTGCCGAAACCGGTCATTCTTATGTTTTTATACAGGGTGTTTCAAAATATTCTAACCCTCTTGCTAGGGTAGGTAGAACATTGCACAATGAGTTGGGTATGCTCAGTAAAAATAATGTCGTAATGACATTCGTTTTCAAGGTAGGTGTTGAAAAAATATTTTTTTCACACATTTTTTACGGTTATGTTGAAACTACTGGCAACATTGTAATGAAATTTTATATGGATGTGTTTTGAAAGCTGACACATCGCATGACATTGTTTTTATATCTGACATTCATAGAGGGCGCTAGTTACACGGTTCGTTTCGAGTACATTTAAACATAACTTTTGAGAGGTTATATTTTTCACTCCAAAGTTAATGTGAACTTGAACATCATTCAATTTTACACCAAAAAGGTATTCTTGGCAAAACTTGATTCTGTGTACCGTTTTCGGAATATTTCGATTTGAAAATGCTGAAGTATTACACCGATGCTAGTTGAAAGTAATTATTATAAAATATACTGTTACCTATTTATTTATAACCAAGTCAAGAGCTTCAAGAAAGAACTAAACATCACTTCGATGTTCTCATATAGCTGATCCTCAACCGTTGAGCAGATTGATGCATTCTTTAGAAAAAAGGATCGAATTGTGTATTCGTGAAAACGGTGGACATTTTGGACACTTACTCTAACTAGATGTTTTTAGTCAAATTTAATTGAACATTTTCTGAAATAATGTTAATACATTTTGTCCTTAATAAATAGATAATTGTTTTTTATAATACTCATTCTAATACCAAAATCAGAGTGATTGCTTCAGCATTTTCAAATCGAAATATTTCGAAAACGGTACACAGTATCGAGTTTCACCAAGAGCATCATTTTGGGGTAAAATTGAATAGTGTTCAAGTTCACTTTGAACAGAAAAATCTAACCTCAAAAAAGTTATGTTCAAAAGTACTCGGTACGAACCCTGTAACTAGCGCCCTCTATGAGTGTCAGATATAAAAACAAATTCATGCGGTGTGTCAGCTCTCAGAACACATCCATACAAAATGTCATCACAATGTTGACAGTAGTTTCGACATAATCGTAAAAAATGTGAAAAAAAAATGTTCACAACACCTCGTATCTTGAAAACGGATGCCGTTACGACATTTTTTCACTGAGCAAACCCAACTTATTTGGCAATGTTCTACCTACCCTAGCAAGGGGGTTAGGTTTTTCTGAAACAACCTGTATAAAGTGTGGTCGACCGACTTAGAGTTTGTCTTTCCTTGGAATATACAAAGTAACCCTCATAAATTCTTCTTTTATGGAGCGATTTTCACGATTTTTTTCTGGAATGTATAGGGGGAAAGGTGTATCTTGGAGCCAAGCGGTGTCTATTTTTTTTAAACCAAGGCCTACTAGAATAGGCATCTTCTGAAATACATCTGTACCAAGTTTCAGAAGGAAATATCCAACATTACCGAATTTACATCATCTCATTTCTAACGGCCCCCCCCTTTATGTCCCAGCTATTAGTCGTGTGATCTTTATCAAATTGGGACCGGAATGAATGATCATCGATAGAATCAGGTTTTCAGAGACATACATCTTTTTGGAGAGTGCCGTGTGTTTTTATTGAAATAAAAAGGGGTCAATTCTTTATGAAATCATATTAGGAATTTTTTGACGGAAAAATGACCTCATAATATTGTTCTTCATGGTTTCATTTCCCCATATATATGAATTTTCATATTTATTATTTACTCGGGAACGGTGAGTTCAACATAAAATACTATCTCTTGTTTCTCCTCTTTCTAATCACGATTTTCTACCTATCGGAGCTATAGAACGTTCCAAAATTCGCATTCAATTTGAATTATCTATTTTTTCGAAGCTGAAAATGAAATGAGCCAATTCTGTTAGTTTGGAATGAGGTGATTTTTTGCATATGGAGGTTCGGAAGCACGAGGAACAATAATATGAAGTTATTTTCATTGCAAAAAATTCAATAAAAAAGCACGGGACTGTCCAACAGTATTTTCGTCTCTGAAAACATTTTGATGGCTTTTTTTCATACTGGCCCAAATTTGGTAAAGATCTAGGTTCGGAAGCACGAGGAACAATAATATGAAGTTATTTTCATTCATTTCATTTTTCATTCATTGCAAAAAATTCAATAAAAAAGCACGGGACTGTCCAACAGTATTTTCGTCTCTGAAAAACTGATCATGTTGATGGCTTTTTTTCATACTGGTCCAAATTTGGTAAAGCTCTAACGTCTTTTAGCAGCAATATAGAGGGGGGGGGTGTTGGAAATGAAACACGCTGTAGATTCGTTGATGCTGAATATTTTCTCATGAAACTTGGTGCAGATCTTATTCAGAAGATGCCGGTTCCAGTGGTGTACGCGGACTATTTCTGAAAAAATCGCTAATATTGATTCTGGATTTTTCAGCCTCTGAATGTGTTATAGTATAGACCTTGTTTTTTTTAAATGGCGCTGCTCAGCCCCAAAACACCCTTTTTTCCCCTCTACATCTCGAAAAGGAATTCCTGAAAATCGTTCCATAAATGAAAAATGTATGAGAGTGATCTGCTTTCACTCTATACAGGGTGGGCCAAATTGGTCACTTTTAAGATAAGCATAAAATGAAGTCGGTGACTGCTGATCAATTCACATGACAAACTCAAAGGTGAAAACCGCATATGGGTATCTATCATTATTTCAGAGTTACAAGGTGTTTTTCAAAAATGTGAATTTTTGAAAAGTGACTAAAACGCTTTTTCTGAAAAAAATTCTTCGTTTTCATGAAAACATTTTCAAAGTACTGTGTTTGTCATGAAAATGTACCCTCAGATACTGAAATCAGTCATCGTATACATAATTGCGCAATAAAACTCTTCTTTCAAGAAGAACAAGTTATATTCTTGAACTAGATATAGAAAGGCCGATCCACTGCCTCGAAAACAATTTTTATCACAAACCCAATTCCTCGCACTTTTTTTTTATAAGAACATACAAGTTTTGCCAAAAAAAATATCTGTTGCCACTTTTCAAAAATGCCCATTTTCGAAAAACACCTTGTAACTCCCAAGCGAAGACAAATGTCGATATGCGGATTTCACCATTGAGTTTTCACTTATAATATCACGAACACGAATATTTTGAAACTTGATATTGATTGAAGCTAAAGTGGAATTCGGTAAGAAAATTTCACACCAAACATTTTCGACCAATTCAAAGGAATTTCAATAAAATATCTGCACGTTATAAGAAAGCACTGAAAGTATTGTATCGCCTCTCATTTGATATCCCAACAAATGATCTGTATGCCATAACAGAAAAATTTTCATTGGATGAATTATATAAAATAGATTCTCTTAAAGTTTCATATAATATAATAAACAATAATCTGAAATCCAATTTTATTTTGATAAGAAAATCAGAAATTCATGGTCATCACACGAGACAATCAAACTTATTCCATCTTGATTCTGCTACTTCTATAATTGGCCAAAAAAATTTACTCACGCTGCTCTAGCTGAATTCGATAAATTACCATATAATATGAAAAATTGCAGACATATTTCAAAATTTAAAATCGGATTAAAAAAACACATGATTTCATTACGAAATGGATAAAATTTATACTTTGCCATCTACTGATTAGTCCCTGTGGCTATTTTTATGACTTGATCGATTCAGCATTTTCAGATTTTTTAGATTTTCTTGTTGTTGTCACCTTATATTATTTTATTATTGTTGTTTGTAATCAACTTCCTCATACCAGAATTTTATTTCTGACTGGAAGCTAGTTTTTCAATAAACAATAAACTTTGAAGATTTAGTTGAAAATGATGGTTGTTTGTGATGAAATGTAAGAACTAACGTATAGTAACAACATGCGTTTTTGTGAGTAACAACATGCGTTTTTGTGAATTTCGAATTTGCAAGTATACCTACATAATATTGTTAAACTGTTGATGAATGATTTCTATTTATTGACTTATAGAATGAACTCGAAATGATCTGAATTTGAATGTAAATGCCATTTAACCTAAAAACGTCAAAAAAATTCCAGTGTAATTTCATGCTCCGTCTCCCAAGGAGGACGGAAAAATTTCCAAGAAATTTGTTTAGTTGCTATGGTAACGATACGAAATACAGGCTTTACATTGATCGTAAATGTTTGGCGTGAAATTTTCATGAGAATCGACCCTCAGGCACCGACATCAGTTTTCTTCCATCTGGTTCGAGCATGGGACTTTCCCTTTGAAAGTATCCAATTTGGCCTACCCTGTACATTGAGACGCTTTGAGAATTATTGATGATTTTTATACTTGAATATGACAAGTTATGAAGTCACTTTATTATTTGAACACAATTTGGAAATTTTTGAGTCGTCACGTTATTGTCTTTTCATCAGTGAATGGAAAAATTATTAAGTAAACGAAACGATTTTTTTTTTGTTTTACTGTTATCCATATAAAATAATATTTAGATTTGGCATGAAATAAGCGTCAACTAATAGTTTCTATACTTTATGTTTGAATTTCAAGTATGAAAAATTATTTTGAATTAGGCATATTGAAAAATGTGTTTGTTTGTTGAAAAAACCCTCAAGGATAGCTTTATTTATCAAATTAGGTTAGGTAGGTACTTTTAGTTGCTTTGCAGGAAATTGGTCTAGACCTATTTTTACTGCAGCAATTCGTATCACTGGTGCAATTCTATTGTTGAAATGTTGGACTTTCCACATTATTTTGACATCATTTGATACAATCTGACTGGTACTTTTCTCAAGGTGTAAACTAGTGTGCATATCATTATTGCCAGAAACATGAATTGCCGCCTAAATAATTGCATGCATCGAAAAATTGAAGACTGTAAAGCGGTCCTAAAAATATATATATTTTTTTTTGTATTTCAGACATTGAGGATACCATCAAATGCAAAATTTAGACTATTAGAATTTGACTTCGATGACATCCATATGAAGGATGATGAAACCCTTAGTGTAAGTAAAAATGAATAAATACGTTCGTTCGTATTTGAATTCCAGATCGAAATTTCCAGCATGAATTTATGTCAATAAATAGTTGTTTATTATACAAGGAAAAAAAGTGGTAGATTTTAATTCAGGGTTGTGAGCTGAAATCTAATGTTTCCCGTGTATAATAATACACTTTTTTTTCTGTGGCAGGAAAAAAGACGAATCAGTAATGAGAAGATATTACATTATATTATAATCAGAAAATTATCAACGTGAATTATACCTGCGGTGCAGTCATCTTTTTGCAGGCATCTTTATCATTCTTTTGAAGTAATCAAATATATACCATGGATGTAATATATTCTTTTCTATGGAAATGATTATCGCATCTCTTCAGAATGAGATTGTCCAGGATGATAACCAGAGTTGTGCAATTTTTCGTCATTTTGAATGGCTCCTGTTTGGAAGGAAAATTTTACATTATTTTTTTTGAGGTTCAAAAACATGCCGCACTATCTCTGTTTTCTCCGAACGGAATTTTCACACTCATTACCGAAATATGAATAGTTTCATAAGATAATGCATCATTTGATGCTCTGATTCCTATTGGTTTTGTGTTCTTGTCATTCTGATTCAAACGGTGATCAAAAATCAAGAAATGATGCTTTCCAGCCACAGTTTTACCTTAGAGATCGCCTTTTCCATTGCTGATCACCATGTATATATTTATTTCAGGCCTGTTTGAGGATGTTTTTGGACTTGGATCTTGTGGAGAGATTTCACATAGACTACGATGTCCTGTGCAGGTGGTTGCTGTCAGTAAAGAAAAACTATAGAGACGTAACTTACCATAATTGGAGGCATGCGTTCAATGTGGGACAGATGATGTATTCTATATTACACGTGAGTTTTATTTTTGTCGACAGAGTTTCCACTAACCTAGGCACTTATGTTCGGTGACCAAGGAATATTGATTGATTGTCTTTATTACCCCAAGAAACATACCGGGTGGTTCATTCAAGACTATCCACCGTCGATACCCCGCAGAAAAATAACGAAACACGTCGAAGGTCATTCAATTCTGACACTAGCAGTGCAAAAATTTTTGAATTCCAACAAGCCGTTTTCGAGGTATTCGAGTTCAAATGGTATGATTTTTATTTGGGAGTAAATGAATGTATGGAATGCATTATTGAATGGTTATCCACAACAAATGTTTAAAATTAACTCCATTGACTTCCAGATAGTGGTGAAATCTATTTACAAATTCCTCATTCACATTTGAACATGCTCCTCTAGTTATTGCCTGGCTTGCAAACCTCATTCTGAATTTCAAAATTTTCTCAAATACTTTTGCCAAAGTGAAAATTCGTGTTATTGGTCTGTAATTGTTAACTTCATCTTTATATCCACTTTTATAAATTGCTTTTGGGTGTATGATAAATCGACATTCATCATACAGGGCGTGGAAAGAAATTCTGAATTGAGACTCTATCACGAATCTGCGATTAGAGGTCTATAAAAATCAAGTTTCCATCGTTCAAGTTTGAACCCCCTGATTGGGTATGAAAATGTTGAAAAGGAAAACAATTACATTCAATTATATCTATTGAACACACACGATAAGAGTTTGAAAATAAAATATAAAAACTTCTGAAATTAATTTTGGAAGTTTTCAAGCTCATCAAGATCAGACTTCATGCCAGTATACTTCTACTACAAATTCCAATTTTCATTTCAATGCTGAATATATTGGTAAGTTATATTTCTTTATCATTATTCATCATTTTATTCATCCGATTTGAAGAAGAATTTCAATTCTCAATTTCGGAGGATTTTATTCTTTATTTTTCATGTTCTCCTTTTGAATGTTCATCAGATATAATTCAATGTTCGACGTGGCAAATAGCCAGGAAAGTAGTTGTTTTCTGTTGAATATTCAGAATGATATGTGCATATACATATTTTTGTCTGAAGGAGAATGCAAATTCTCAATTTCAGAAGTTTTTATATTTTATTTTCAAACTCTTATCATGTGTGTTCAATAGATATAATTCAATGTAAAAGAGTAAATATTCTCATCACATAGAGAATGCGAATTCTCAATGTATTGCTTTATATAAATATATATATCCATTTTTGAATGTTCATAATTTATCTGAGAATATTTCTTTGCAACACTTATAAATTGGTTCAATGATACCAGTTTTGAATGCTTATGGACAAATTCCTGTTTGGAATATCACATTCATCAGAAATCAAAGTGGTTCACATCTTATACTTGATAATATTTTCGTGAAAAATAGGAAATTCAAAATGGCGGATCCAATATGACGAACGAGTTTTTGAATTATGGTCCGATATTCAATTCAGAATTGGTATCTGTGGGTTTTCAGGGTCGGAGATTATGATTTATTCGTCAAAATTAGGAAATTCAAAATGACGGACGAGTTTTTCCATTATGGATCGATTTTATTCAAAATTGTTATTCAAAATTGGTATATGGGGATTACGGAGTCAGAGATGATGATTCTTTTGTCAAAATCTGGAGATTCAAGATGACGGATCCAGTATGGCGGACGAATTTTTTTAATTATGATCAGATTTTATTCAAAATTTGTATCTGGGCGTTTTTGGGTAATATTTTATCAAAATTGGTAACTGGGGGTTTTTGAGGTCGGATATGATTTCTCCGTCAAAATTAGGAAATTGAAGATTGTGGATCCGATATGGCGGACGAGTTTTGTAATTATGATTCGATTCTATTCAAAATGTGTATCTTGGGGTTTTCGGGGTCGGAGATTATTAATTTATTCTTTGAAATAATTGGTAAACTCAATATAGCGGATCCAATATGGTGAAAGAGATTTGCAATAAATAGTAGTTCGAAAAACTATAATGTAACACGCTTCTATGGATATCCAAACTCGAAGCCAAACTGAATAGAATCAGAAAGTTGATACTATAGTATATAGCAAAACTACGTTTGCCAGCTATCAGGTATTCTAATAAATAGTAGTTTGCAAAACTAATGGAACACGTTTTCATAGATAGCCAACAGAAAAAAAGTGAGTAGAAAAAAAAAAGAGTTGTTTGGAAAAATGGAGACCCACTAAGCAAAGTAATATCTCAACAATATTGCAGCAATATTTCAATGTTATGTGTAATGTTACATCAGATATTGTCGCTATCTTACTGCAAGGTCGCAGCAACTACTGAAACGGACGTTCAGCAATATTATGAATGTAATGTTCGCGAATGAATCATTCCAGCAGAGTTATTGTAACATTGTGTATGAAGTAAAGTAACATTTCATACTCAATGAACGAATGTAATCTTATTGTTATATTTTGTTAAGGTATCTGGCAACATAAAATAAAAAGTAAAGGAAAATTACATATTTCATATTATGAATTATACATAGTAACAATATTCTAATAATCGAATAATCGTGTCGACTATTTCATAATTTAAAAGTAGATTGAAAAAATTTCTAAATATTTTTGATATAACGGTACTAGGTCTCATAGGCACTGCACTGCATAAGAACCTGGAATAAAGGAAATAATGATAAAATAAAAAAGTCAGGAATCTACTTGTTAGTTGAGTTAGTTCATCTACCGGTTAAACTTGAGAGTTGAGGATTGTATACTTGATTCTGGAAATATTTATTTTCCAAGGTATGCTGAGAGTATCCTCATAATATACACTGAAGATAATATGAATATTTCCCAGCATCTAAAGAATAATCTGAAAAACGATATTTGAGGTTGTTTTAGAATTAATTGTGAGTGCGAGCTCAAAGTTTTTTCTACAGCAGCTGAATACAGTAAGATGAGAGATAAGATTTGATGATTCGAGCAATGATTCTACTATCACTATGAGGTTAAACAAAACCTCAATGTCCCTAAGTGTTTCAGTAATAAAAAGGATTGATTTCATATAATTTGTAATGTTTTATAGAGTTCCTGCTAAAGAGCCGATAAAGACCCGAAAGCTCAAACAGAAACAATAAGAAAGTAGGTACACTTTGATTCACTTTGACTGCATACTCAAAGGAATTCACGAGGTTGTCCTATAACTTTGAGTAGGTATACGAATAATTATAATCATTCTATGTTATTTTTTGTCGATCGAACGATCCGCTTAGATCAATGAATTATGTATGAATCCGTAAAATGTATACCTAACCTAGAATAACTGATAATGACTTACCTAACCATCAACTGCTAACTGCTATTCAAAACCTTCCCAACTGTGAACTGCCTAATATCACATATCGCCAGATCACCACTTATACCTCAATTTATGTTCCAAAGTATATTATTTATTGGTATCATTTGCCATTTGGACGTGTACAACAACAAAATACCTGTTACCGAAGCCAAACACTAACAAATATGGCGACTAAGATAGTGGCGTTTGTCGAATGCAAGTTTGCGACTGCGCGTAGGCATTTCATGAAATGGCGTCTCTCGATCGATACCCAATGTAGCATTTTGTATATTTCAGCTATATTACATTTTTTATTCAAATATGTGTTGCATCCCATAAGTTGTAGCAATATTGTTTGTAGTTACCTCATGTTATTTACAAACTCAATGAAGTATAAATGTTGATGCAACATTACAATTGAAAATTCCATATGCAACGTTGCACTGATATTTTTCGTAGTTGATCCATGTAATGTTGCAATTTCAATGAGAATATATAGTTGATGCAATATTGCTATTGAAACTTAATTGAAAGGGTCATTTTGTAACTTACAAACAATTTGTCAGTAAGTTTTTCTGTTATATCGTCAACACGAATATAGCAGCAAAATAGATACAATATTGTATTTTCATATTACGGAAGAAAGCTTCACAAAATATTGTGGCAATATTTTGTAACATTACATGTTTAGTGGGGAGGTATAGAGTGCCGAACTAAAAATAAATAGAAAATATAAGGAATAGTTTGATAAACTAAAAAATCCCCCTTCTATGTATAGCCAAAATAATAAGAAGTAGAAATAAAATAATAAATGTTTTCAGATAAATATGTATCAAAAAAATATTTTTCTAGAAATAATGTTTTTTATTTCTCAATTAGTCTATATATTTAATCTACGATGATTTTCCATCTATATAGAGTAACTGACAGATGAATTCATCAAGTATTATTCTTTCCAGGCCACACGATGGTGGGAACATTTTGGAACCATAGAGTGCCTAGCTTTGATGGTAGCCTGCCTATGTCACGATTTGGACCATAGGGGAACAAATAATTCGTTTCAAATCAAGTACGAACCTAAGTCCATTTATGCATGATTATTTTGAGACTGTTCAATTTTTTGACGGGATTCTACATACAGTGTGTCTCACTTCTAATGAAAAAACCCCCGTATCTAACGAAATCGTTGGGTTAGGCTGGAACGAGAGATATATACCAAAAATGCACTCTATGACCAAGTGGGGTCATCTTCAGTGAAATACACTGCTCGCCAACAGCCATGAAATCACCCCAATTTCCGGAAAATGATATTAGGATAAATAGCTAGATAGATAGAATTATTTGACTATGTTACTCATACATATTATGGTTTATAGCACGTCAGGGTTACAGAATCATGTAGAAAATAAATCACAGAAAATTTTATACAACTAAATAAAGTACAATCATACACAAATAATAGTAGTCACAGAAAAAAGACAAACATTGAATAAAAAAAAACAAATATAACAAGAACACGATTATAAAATTGATGTTCGATAATATTCATCAACAGAGTAAAAGCAATTTCCAAGAAGGATTTTCTTAACATTATTTTTGAAACATTCTTCATTCATAGATCTAACAAAATGAGGTAGTTTATTAGACAATTTCAAATTCAATGAATTCTTTTCTGATTTGACCAATCTGTATCGAGGCACAATTAAATCATCTGAACTAGCAGAGCGTGTATTGTGATCATGAATGCTAGAAATTTTGAGAGTGTTCTGCCTTCTAATTGAATTTCAGTCAAATTCTGGAATATGTAAATACACGGAAGTGGTAAAATACCTAGTCGCTTGAATAGTGGTTGACAATGTTCTTTATGACCCATCCTAGCTAATAATCTAATCGTTCATTTCTGTAGCCTGAAAATTTGGATAGAATTAACTGAGTCACCCCATAAAACAGTTCCATAGCTGATCAGGGAATGAAATAAACCGAAATATATATTGTTTAACAAACTTGGATTGAGGCATTGTTTGAGTTGTCTGAGCAAAAATAAAACTTTGAAAAGTTTGGCACTAAGCATATCTACATGGTGTTTCCAATTAGGACAGTCATCTATAACAATCCCAAGCAGTTTACAGTGGTTACCCTCCGTAATTAGATTGTCACTAAAAATTATTAAATTTTGTGTTTTCTCTTTGTTGAGCTGGAGATTATTTGCAGAAAACCAAGCTTCTGCTTCAATTATTAGAACATCAGCTCGATCAAGAAGAAGTGGAATAGTTTTATTCGAACTAATAAAAGTTGTATCATCTGCAAAAAGGACGATCTGATATCTCGTTATCATGTGGTAGCACAGATCATTGATGTATATGATAAAAAGCAACGGTCCTAGAACAAATTCTTGTGGAATTCTGTGTTGAATTTCTTTGAGTTCAAATTTAGAATTATCATTCAAATGTACATACCGCTGTCTTTTCTCCAAATAAGATTCAAATAATCTCACTGGCGTGCCTCTTATTCCATAAAATGAAAGTAGGAGTAAACATATGATGAAAATAACTTCGGATTCGGAATCAGGACGCCCAATTTACTAGCAATTGATATTTTCCCTGAAAATTTTTCAGTTTTGAAATATTCATGTTTGTCTCTTTGAGTTAAGATATCTAAATTTGCTGGAGCGAGAGATATACCAAAAATGTACGGGAATGAATTTTTCAGAACTGAAAATTTTTTGGCAAAAATATTAATAGTCAGTGAATCAGATCTCCTGTTTTCGAATCCGAAGTGATTTTCAACCTATCTTAGCTCTTGATAGAACTTTCCGGACATGTGTATAGTTTAACGACTGTTGATTAAAATTGTTGTTCTAAAATTGTTCGGATGCCCCCTTACGAGCAACCCTCAGAAGTCTTCGAGAGTCTTGTGCGAGCAAGGAATGACGGGGGCCTTACCTTTTAACGTGTGATCTCAAACACTTTCTTGGGCCATCAGAAAAATTTCTGCATTCGATGGGAATCGAACCCACGACCGGCAAGCGAATGCGAATTAGAATATAGACACTCTGTCCAGACTAGCAGTGTATCTTACTGAAGATGACCCCACTTGGTTATTGAGTGCATTTTTGGTATACCTCTCGCTCCAGCAAATTTCAAGATGTGAGACAAAAATGAATTCTTCAGAACTGAAAAATTTTCAGGAAGAATTTCAATAAAAAGTGAATAGGGTGTTCTGATTCCAAATCCGAAGTGATTTTCATTCTATTTTGACTCCTAATATAATTTTCCGGAAATTGGGGTGGTTCCATGGCTGTTGCCGAGCAGTGTATATCACTGAAGATGGCCCTACTTGGTCAGAGAGTGCATTTTTGGTATATCCCTCGTTCCAGCAAATTTCAGGATCCTTATCCAACGATTACACAAGATACAGGGGTGTTTCCATTAGAAGTGAGACACACTGTAGACCGGGAGCCCATAATGTGTTTTTTCTGTCTTATTTGTTCATATCAGCTGTATAAGAACCCTCCAAATTCCACCTTTTACTACATGGATATAAGGTCGCCGCATAAAATTCGTGAACCAATAAAGGGTGGGGGCAACGTGGGTGAAGTTGTATTGAAGAATTTGGGGTCTCGAATCATCACCCAGCAAACATTGATACATGGGCCAACACTTTCATAGAAATGTCACCCCAGTGAACTATCATTGGCCTAATATTGGTATTTTTCAATGGTAAATCACAATAGCTGCCCACTGGCCGACTTAACGCCAATATTGGCGAAGCAGTACTTCAATTTATTGCTTGTTTATTCTTGGCCCAGTGATGACTGATTCACGTATTTACAGTGCATTCCCAATGAAAATTGATTGGTTTATTCTTACACAGAGAATTTCGAGTTTACATATAGAAAATATTATTTAATTGATGAAAATAATAATAACTACAATAAAACTTCTCGTATTCAGTTATACAGGGTGTTCCAGACTTGAATGTACATACGATACTTGCAGATAGAGAACACTTTGGAGGTTTTAAATCACCCCCATTGACGTGTCTACCATCTTCCATAACTGAAGCACAGGACGTTATTTTGATTTTGGCAAACTCTTCATCTGGTCATAATTTTTTAACCACTTATATTACACATCGAAACTATATAATAATCGAGATAAAAATCCAGGTCCTTCCCAAAAAATACAGAAAACTTTTTTTATTCCAAAACCAACACTCTGTATGGCAAACTTTTTGGATCTGTTCCGTTATTTGGGAAGAGCGGGAAAAAATTGATAAAGTGAGCTATTTTTACGAGCGCGCATCCAATTTGACAGATGGTTTATTATTATATTTTGAAATATTCAGCTCCATTTCGAGACATTTTTATTGAACTCGAGATTCAAAATCCAATTTTGATACAAAGAAAGCAGCCTTCAAAGTTCAACATCATTAGAGTCAAATTAGGTAAACTATTGATAGATTTGTCCGTTTGACAGAATAACTATTTTAGAAATTTTCGAAGATTCATTTTTTTTTTCCCTGTTTATTCATATGAGGTGCCATGAAGTAGGCTGTGCATTGATATTATTGGTAACATTAAAATTATTGCATTAAAGATGTGTGTCACTGGATAGTTTTAAAGAATCGTGTGTGTTATTTGTGAAAGAAAATTATTGATTGATCAACTGAGAAAGGAGAAATCTGTTAATTACCCTTATATTAAAATATGTGACGTAATTCATGTGTCTGTGTCTAAGTTCTATATTTCTATGTTTTTATTTATTGACTTATTTTATTTAATTGTGAATTTAACTGTATTGAAGAGCACTGTGCTAATAAAGTTTGATATAAAGCATAATTATGAACACTTTGAAATATAACATCCCAATATACAAGCAGACTAGTGATAATGAACTGTCAGAATATCAGAATTTATTGCACAGCCTACGTCACCGCAGCTCATAAATTAGTAGTTAAGAATAAAATGAGCACTCAGAAATTTCTGAAACCACAGACAAGTTGATCTGTCATACAAAAATCTATCGATAGGTCACCAAAGTTGACTCATATGATGTTGAACTTTGAAGACTGTTATTTTTTTGTAAAATAATTGGATTTTGAATTACGAGTTCAATAAAAATGTCTCAAAATGGAACTGAGTATTTCAGGAAATAACAATAAAACATCTGTCAAATTGGACGCGCGCTCGTAAAGAGTAGGTCACGTTATTCGTTTTTCCCTGCTCTTCTCAAATATCGAAACAGATCTTCAAAATTTTTGCAAAGTGTTGTTTTGGATATAAAAGAATTTTTCTGTCTTCCTCCAAGACGGACCTGGATTCTAATCCCGATCTTCATTTAGTTTTGATGGGAATATGAGTGGAATATTTATACCAAGTATGGATAGAATATACAAAGTGGTTCAAAAATTAAGACCAGATGAAGATTTTGCCAAAATCAAGATAACGTGCTCTATCTCAGTTATGAAAGACGGTAGACACATCAAGGGGGGTTATTTGGAACCATCAAATTGTCCTTTATCTACAGGTATCGTATGTACATTTGAATCTGAAACACCTTGGATATCCACATCTGATCTGGCCAATCAGCGAAGAGTTCACGAATTCTACTTCTGAGGATTGATATTGTGATTCCTGGAAACCTGGAACATGGCCAGAACTTGGAAACTCCTTTGGTATCTGGAATGAACTATTTGTGAATTCCCAGTAAGCTATAAATAATAACTGCATTATATCTATAGCCTGCTGCAACAATAGTCATGTGGAAACAAAGACTCGAGTCTTAGATAGAAGTAGAGTAAATGTTAGAGACTTGGCAACATTGTGCTGAATACTGAGAACTAACAAGACACGAACATTGTCTGAATAATTTGTCTGGCATGTTTTTTATCTTCTTGTATCCATTTCCTGCTGAAGATGAAGCTTTGAAGCTTCGAAACATGTGGCTGATATTAAAATAAAGTATAGTTTTGGTGTAGTCGACTATAAGATTTTCTTCCTATCCTACCCTGCATTTTGTTACTATATCATGCTTTTCGGAAAGCCTCAAACTTGTTAATTTTATATCATTCGCCTACAATCATACTAATTAGAAGTGGAAAAATGTTGAAAGAAAATAGTTATATTATTTTTTAGAATTCATTCGCCAATCGCACAACTATATTCAACTTCTACAATGGAGCACCATCATTTCGACCAATGCCTGATGATTCTGAATTCGCTCCAGTTATTGTCCAAACTCACTGCCGAAGAACATTCACGGGTCATCAGGGTCCTGGAGGATGCCATACTAGCCACTGATTTAGCAATATATTTCAAGTGAGTATAATGAAATTCTCAATAACTGTTCCCTTCTTGTCATTAAATACCAACAACTTTCTTATTTCAAATAGAATGAACATACAATCCCTTCGATCTTGAGAAACATTTTATGTTGCTTGGCAACCACATGATTGCATAGCTGTGTGTGGATAGATTTGTTGTAATAGGAGTACGGACGCTATAACAAGCAGTGACAGAAGGCATAACCCTTAAAAATTTGAAATGACATGACCCTGACAGTTCATGAACGTACAGCATGACATTGAATTATTTGAAAATTCAGTTTTTGAAAAATTGAAATGGCTGACTGTGTAGTTGAAAACTGCAAGAATAGAAGCGAATCATTCAATTTATTCCATTTCTCCCATGATAATAAACAACAGCTACAAAAATGGAAACAAAATATGTAGCGGTTATTATGGAAATTGAGTTCAGTCAGCAAAATTTGTGAAGTACTTACTCAATATTTGAATTTTTAGATTAGTGCCTATTGGAAGGAATAATATCAATTCTAATATCAATTTTAACATAATAGGTGGACTTCATAAGTGAAGATTTGATAGTGGAACATACCATTGAATTGAAAGAAAATGCGGAGCCTTCATTCTATCATCAGAAAGATTACCAAATATTGAAGATCTAGAGAGGAAATCTGCAAAAATCAAAAATTTATTAATAGAGAACGATGAAGCATACAGAAACGGAATTGAATAAAAGGATGAACAGTTGAAAAATACCTTGAAACAAAAAAACTCTGAAGTAACGAGAATTCACAGCTATTATAAGGAACTATGATTTGAACAATCTCATCAAACATCTTTGGAAGACTGTGAGGAAACTGCGAATGCAAAAATGCAGGCAATTTTGGATCAAATCAAGACACAAATTGATAGTTTCGGTATATATTTCAACCAAAATCATAGTCAACTTCAGTATTTGAAAACGCTAATCCATGAAATGAATTACAAATTAGCTATTTATGCTATTTATGAGCAACATCTGTATTTGCCGAATTTTCTGATCGATCATGCACTAGAAAGTGTATTAGTATTTTATGAACGCAAATATATAGTTATTTATTATGCAAGGAAAAAAAGTAGTAGATTTTGTCTCCCGACGCGTAGCGCAGGGAGACAACAACCCGTGAGCAAAAATCTAATATTTTCCCGTGTATAATACACAATTATTTTCTGTGACAGAAGAAAGGACGAATCAATATTGAGAAGATATTATATTTTTTTGAAATCTGAAAATTATCGACGTGAAATTTTGAGTTTTTAATAGCGTATTGACACCTTGTAGGCATCTTTATCATTCATCTGAAGTAATCAAATATCTGATGTCACTTCTGTCAGTCTAATTCTGTGATTTGATTTTAAAAAATAACTTACCCATAGCCACAGTCGCTATAAACTGACAGTAGTGGCAGTGAACAAATAATAGTAGATTGTTTATTAGGATCAAAAGTGACACTTTGTTTGACAAGCGAATTTTGCATTTGCGAGGCGGACGTCACTTTTGATCCGAATAAAACATGCTATTTTTTCTGCAACCGAAACAATCAACTCGAATAAATACAGTGTGACCCATTTGAAAGCGGGACACCCCTGTATCTCACGTAATCGTTGGGTAAGGATCATGAAATTTGCTGGAGCGGGAGATATACCAAAAATGCACTCTATGACCAAGTGGGGTCATCTTCAGTGATATACACTGCTCGCCAACAGCCATGGAACCACCCCAATTTCCGGAAAATGATATTAGGAGTCAAAATAGGTTGAAAATCACTTCGGATTCGGAATCAGGACGCCCAATTCACTAACTCTTCATATTTTTTCTTGAGAATTTTCAGTTCTGGAACATTAAATTTTGTCGCACTTTTCATGGAAGCACCCCCGTATCTCACGTAATTATTGAGGTAGGGTTCTAAAATTTGCAGGAGGAACGGAAAGTCCAAAGATAAAGTCAATTACGTAAGATACGGGGGTGCTTCCGTGAAAAGTGCGACAAAATTTAATTTTTCAGAACTGAAAATTCTCAAGAAAAAATATGAAGAGTTAGTGAATTGGGCGTCCTGATTCCGAATCCGAAGTGATTTTCAACCTATTTTGACTCCTAATATCATTTTCCGGAAATTGGGGTGGTTCCATGGCTGTTGGCGAGCAGTGTATATCACTGAAGATGACCCCACTTGGTCATAGAGTGCATTTTTGGTATATCTCTCGCTCCAGCAAATTTCGTGATCCTTACCCAACGATTACGTGAGATACAGGGGTGTCCCGCTTTCAAATGGGTCACTCTGTATGTGAAGCATTAATCTATGTGTGAAGTAACCACCAATGCCGTGCCATATGTAATTATGCAATGCAATAAATAATCCGTGTGGTGAGAATATTCTACCTGCATTAACAGCAGGTTTATTCAATTTCCAAGGATGTTCGAATTATAGTTTCAATATAAATACAACCACAGAATGATATATTTGTGCATGGACCAGGTGCTGTGATGGCAAATACCGCGCCAGTGCCAGAAATAGGAACAAGACGTGGAAAATGTTAGGTTAGTGAGCATATCAACAAAAATAATAGCGATTATTTATTTGTCTTCATACTCCATACTGATGTGTCTGGCTTGATAATCAGATGTAGGTAAACAATATCGTTGATTGAGTCAATAAACTATTGCTGGCCGTGATTATTCAAAAACAAGTTCATCCATCCCAAGAATAACGAACGAAATACATATCAAGCAAGTATGTGAATCTTGAAGGCTGCCCTGATCAAAAAAAAAATACTCAACTATACCCTTGATTATGTACACTAGTGTGAATACTGAAAGACTATACTAAGGTGTATTTATTTTATATCTCCAGCATGAGTATGAAATGCCAAATCTGTCGAAATCTGAAACGAATCAGGTATGCGTCCCAACCCAAATAACCAACTTATTCTTGATGACCTCTGGTACATCCTTTTCAATTCCTAGGAGCTAAAGTTCAACTTTAGCTCCTAGGAACTAAATATGTTGGCTAGCAACATACCTATTCTTGTGTCAGTAATAGAAACGTCAATTTAAGAGCCAATTTCGGTATCAAAATGGACGACTTTTGTGTCGGTTGCAGAAAAAAGCATTTCAGACCAATCTCCATTCCTCTATTCAGTACACTAGTAATTCAACAAACTTACATAAACTGATTGTGTTTTAATCTTTTCCTGAAGATGCTTACATAGTTACCGAAACACGTGTCGAGGCGTTTAAAAAATCGGTTTGGTTGGTGGTGAAACAGTGTAGTGTATTATCGTGTCGAAGGTTCCAGTCTTCGATATGAACTGATCAAGGCATTTTTGTAGTGGGCCAAACACTAGCCAATCAAATTCAAATGAGAAACGACGTTCTTCAAGATGTTGCACATCTGCTATATCACAGCATGCAACAAACACACTTTCACTTTCAATATTTACCATCGATAATGTTTTAGTTATTGTTATTTAAATGTTCTTCAAATGAGTTTCCTATTATATCAATGAAAAAAAAAATCATTATTTCTCAATGCAAGAAAATATCGTGCGGAAAAGTTACTTTACCTCACTAGTTCTAAAAAGCTATTTTTCCGCACGATTTTTGTATGGTTGAAAATAAGGCTATTCAGGACTAACTAAATGATTCATGTAACTATTCTGTCCTTATTGCTCGAACTCCGCTCCGCGTCGTTCGTGCAACTGCTGTCGCGTGAGAAAAGTACTTCATTCCGCACATGTTAGGTGAATAACTAATATATTCCGTCTTAGGAAGAAGTCCATTGTAACTCAAAGTGGAGTGGTATAATTCATAGATGACTTCGGGTTTCTTCATCTATGTAATATATTTCGATTTTTTCAAGGTTGGATCATAATTTTTATTAGTAAACCTCAGATTCGGATTCAGCACTCCAAAAAACATGTTATAATAATAATAATATTCTTTCATTACCCATAAAAACAAAGTCATGTACTTCATTTTTTTATAATGAAGAAAAAGGTGAAAGGTACTCGGGTCAGCTCACGGCTACAGCCGTGTCTGATCTTCCACCGATACCTGCAACAATAATTATAATACTTAATGATTTAGATGACGATAACCTAAAATACCGACAATGTGGGTAGACATAATGGGCTTATATCACAAAAAAAATTATTTCATAATTCGATAGAAATCACACAAACTAGCTCACCACCGCAAACCGTTTTTTGCTGTGAGCTCCCTACGTTTTATAAAAAATTATTGAAATACCCGATTTTTCGGACCTCTGAAGAAACCCTGATACTGAAACAAGACTATTCCAGACAGAGATGAATGATACATGATTTCTGACAGAGTGAATTAGCACGAAATCACAGTTGAAAGAATTAATACAGGGTATGTCACGACGAGCTTACACTATCTTCATATCGAGAATCAGTCAGAAGAAATCCATGAAAATGTGCATGCTTATATTTCAAAATACGCTCTCTTCATGTAAAATACTTTCGACAATGCAGTGTTGCCGCTTCTACTAGAAAGTAGTAGCAACATTGATATTTCAAATAGAACACCCTTTATTTCATCGCATTTTTAGATTCTCCCTAAAGAGCTGATTTCATCAATGTATCACACTTGGGGACAATCGAAAATGATTACAGAGATATAGGGTGTGCAAAATCGAGATTTTTCAACTTTAGGATTTTTTTGTGTCGAAACTATTCATTATCGGTCAAAACGGCTCACTATCCATATCTCAACTTTCGATTCACTATCCACTGATATTAAATCGGAACAGATACAGGGTGTTTCAAGATTCAGAATTCTGAGCACCCGGTATCTGTTCCAATTAAATGTCAGTAAATAGTAAATCAAAAGTTGAGATAGGGACATGTAAGCCGTTTTGGTCATTAATGAATAGTTTCGACACAAACAAATCCTAAAGTTGAAAAATCTCGATTTTGAACACCTTATATCTCTGTAATCATTCCCTAAAGAACCCAAGTGTGATGTATCGATGAAATCAGCTCCTAAGGGAGAATCTAAAAATGCAATAAAATACAGGGTATTCTATTCAAAATAACAAAGTTGTTGCTACTTTTTGATAGAAGCGGCAACACTGCATTGCTGAAAATATTTTAAATGAAGAGAGCGTATTCTGAAATATAAGCATGCATTTTTGTTAGGATCTTTTCCGACTGATTCTCGATATAGAGATAGTGTAAGCTCGTCGTGACATACCCTGTATATCAGTTGCCTCAGTCTCCGTCGGGCGTTTGGTATTTTCTTTTATGTATGGCGAGATGAGGTTTCTACGTCATAAGAGGGTCCGTTTTCAGAAGGTACTATTATTTATGTCCGAAAATGAAACATTCTAGTTAATTTTTCGATCGAATTATGTCGTCAATCATTTATGTATTAAAGGATCATTAAAAACATGGCTTGAGTTAAAAGTTCTACTAAGGTGTACACGCCCATTAATAGAAAGTATGACAGCAACAAAAAAAGAGAGAGAATAGGTGAGGAAGAAAACAGGAGAGAGAAATCGAAACTACCTCACAACTTTCCCGCAAGGGGTCCTTTTTGTGTCCAAATGGCCTGTATTAGAAAAAGTAAGCATTAATCAATTATCCATTCCAGAAATCGCGTGGAATTCTTCAAAATAGCCAACGTGGGAATGAACTGGAAACTGGAGGCGCACAAAGAATCGGTGCGAGGCATGCTGATGACAGTCTGCGATTTGGCGGCCATCACCAAACCGTGGGACGTGGAGAAGAGGATTGCAGATTTGGTTACTGCCGAGTTCTTCGAACAGGGCGATCTGGAGAGGGAGAAGTTGAACATCACTCCAATGGTGAGCTATCTCTAGATTTTTTCCGATGCCCCCTGTATATGCGGCAATAATTTCTAGTTATGGACCTTGGTGTCCCATTGACATTCGTTTTTCATTCAAGTTTCTAGCTGTCATAGAACTCAATCAATCGAGCTCCGACGCACTAATGCGTTACCACCGATACAACAATGACATTACACACGCCATTATTTTGAATGATATTCTTCCTTCGTTTCACTAAATATGGATTAATCTCAAGAAAATCATATTTATAGTTGAATTATATATAAATTGTCCAATATGATGAAAAAAGAAGGGAAATTTGTTCTAAATGCCATCCAGAAGACAGGTGAAAAAGAAGGTGAAATTTTGAACTTTTAGTCAAATATCTTCATGATAAATATCATGATAAATGCAGTTTCACCATTTCAAGTAGAGTGTTTGTAGTTCATGTTAATATGATAGTTGCAATTTGATCATTGGAATGAATTCTGCATTCATTGCCACGAGGCAAATGACAGTTTTCAGAAAGAAATTTGAGAATGAGAATTAAAAATGCCCGTTTATTATGAACATTCAAGAAAATTTCCTCGAATTCAAAGATGATTTTGTTGACTATAATATACGAATACAAAACTAACTGCACAATCAAAGCTTTTCTATTTTTCCTCTACTTATACTTTTTATGAGAGAGTAATTGTCTTCTATTATTAATTCATCATTATAAATTAAGTTCTGTTTACTACTGAACTTAGATGGAGTAAAATCCTCGCGGTGAATTGCATATACATACCTACATTTTCGATAGCTCCTCGTCCAACGGGAAACTAAAAGCATGAACTTTTGAACCACCCACATAATTCCCCCGACACAACACTTGAAAGGCATTGTTATTTCGCCGATCACAACACAAAATATTTCACAAAACAGTAATTTTTCCGCCAATTATTTTGATGAATAAACAACAAAAGAATTCGGGACCGTTTCAAAAACATACGTGAATCACCGATGAATTAACACAAACTGACGCGTTAGTCGACAAGCGATAAAATAAAACACTGGCCTCTCTTGGTGACGTCACGAGCTGTTTACGTCAGAGTCTGCTGGCCTTGTTGTATCGGTGGTAACGACTAATGCCCCACCCTGTATAATAATGATAATAATAGTAATAATAATAATCTTCATTATTCCCAAGAAACATATATGTTTATAGCAGGAAAAATTATGAAAGAGCAACTAAAAAAATAATAATTAGATAATCAGATAATCATTTTTAAATCATTCATAGTACATAATTATAATGTTGTTTTTTCTAGAGACTGTTGAATATAAGTTCTTGAATTGATTTAGGATGATATAAGAGAATCGAAGACATAAGTATTTTTTTCAATTTCTCGACACTTAATTTTTCCTTCAGTCTGGCAGGTAATTCATTATAGAGAATTGTTCCATTGTATAAAATAGATCTTTTACCCATATCTGATTTAATTTTGATGAGAGTTAACATATTATCTTTTTGTCTGGTTATGTGTTCGTGTTTTTGACTATTGACTTATTCAAAATTCAGATTTGACTGAATGGATATTTAAAATTTTGAATTTGTAATTAGGGTTAATATCTAACAAGTGCCCAGGTTTATAAAGATTTCTTGTTGGTTCCTATTAATCTAGTTTGTATATACATTCAATAACTTTGTTTGGAAGGATTTTGATTGGCTTTATAATAATTGATAACCTAGCTGTACCCCAAACTGAAATCAAGTATTGTAATTTTGAATAAACCAAGAAAAAGTATATACATTTTAAGTATTTCAAAGAGGTTTGGTGTCTGATCCTGTAGAGTACTCCGATTACTGGAGATATTTTCTTTCTGATCGATTCAATATGTTTGGACCATGACAAATGTTCATCAAGGAATATCTCAAGGAATTTGATGCATACCAAGCTTGATGTTTATCCCTCTAGCTTATGAATTAATAGCTGTAATAATAAAAATCTAAGAATTATCTGATTTTTTGAATGTTTCCGCATACCTTTTGGTATAATGATTGGTAATAATCTGAAGTGGGATAATCATGTATATTTTGTTTTAAAAACAAAAAAAAATAGTCTCATTCCTAAATTCAAACGTCTGAAAAATGTATCAAGCATTCCTAGTTTGGAAATGATATATTTTGCTTTAGTTCGATCTCAATTAGTTCATGGGATTTAAGAATGGGGAGGAGTAGTAAAGCAAATATATTTGAAAAAATTGGTAGTTATTCAAAAATGGATTTTGAAAATTATTTATGGAATGGATTATTTATTTCCAACCGACCTTCTATACAAAGAATCCCAAAAGATGATTATGAATCAGCTCTATATTTATTGTTTATCAACTTATTACATGTTCAACAACAGAAATAATATTGAATTAAAAAATTGTACCTATGATATAACAAACAGAAACAAAACGTTGATATATAAATCTAATAAAACAATTGGACACAGAAATTATCAATATTTGATTCCTTATTTGTATGATGAAATTCCCCGTAATATTGATAAGTCAAATAATTTTATTGCTACAAAACTAGAATAAAAAACTGGATTTGGTCTCTTCAAGGAATTTATCTGCTTCTCTGGTTAATATTTAATATATATTTATACGAAATTTGAAACAGTAATGAATTCTACTCATACCCAATGATTGAATGAAAAACAATTATTTATAAATTACTTCTGTCTCGAATTAATTAATTCATTTAATAACCATAACTTTCACTTCATATACCTTACAAGTTATACATGAGTAACAAAATGAAGATAACTAATTAGTCATCTCGCTTAAAATTTTTGAGAACCTTATTATCACCCCTATGAATGTTCTGAAAAAAAAAATTCAGGGGTTGAGGGTGGTTTCAACCCTTCACAATTTCTTTAGGGTTTCTTCGATCACTGAAAGAACGGTTATTCTCTAAAATGCACTTTTGTCCAATTTCATACAATTTGTTTCACTCACTTTTGAATAGTGTACAAAAATGTGTTCTCCTATGTAAACTCTGAGCTCGTCTCACTGACAAACGGTACATTTTGTTATACAGGGTGTTTCAAAAAAACCTGACCCCCTTACTAGGGTAGTTAGAACACTGCAAAATAAGTTGGGTTCACTCAGTAAAAAAAATTCGTTACGGCATCCGTTATGAAGATACAAGGTGTTGAAAAAATTATTTTTTCACACATTTTTCAAGATTATGTCGAAACTACTGGCAACATTGTGATGAAATTTTGTATGGATTTTTCTTGGAATCTGACACATCGCATGCATTTGTTTTTATATCTGACTCTCATAGAGGGCGCTAGTTACACGGTTCGTACCGAGTAGTTTTGAAGATAACTTTTTTGAGGTTAGATTTTTCAATACAAATTTGATGTGAACTTGAGAATCATTCAATTTCACACCAAAAAGGTACTCTTGGTAAATGTTGTTACTGTGTTCCGTTTTCGGAATAATTCGATTCGAAAATAATGAAGTGATAACTGTTACAGGTATAAAGCTATGTATTAGAGTGAGTATTATAAAAAAATATCACCTATTCATTGAAAACCGAAAACAACAATACATTTCTGATGCTTAGCTCATCGATTTAACAATGAATCACAACAATAACATCGAAACAGATTTGACTAAGAACATGGATTACACAGTTTTGTTGTATCTTGAGCAGAAAGTCTATGCTACATAGGTAAATTCACGTCAAAAGTTGTAAGACATAATTGAACATCACTTAAATGACCTAACAGCTGATTCTCAACTGTTTAGAAGAATAATACATTCTTGAGAAAAGAATATAGAATCGTGTATTCGTCGAAACGTAGGACATTTTGAACACTCACTCTAACTGATTCAATATTTCATGTTTCTTGTCAAATATCTCAATTTTCTACTTATGATTCTTCGTTTCATCAAAAACTTCAGCACAAGATCAATTTTATCGTTTTAGAATCTGAATAAATAGGTAATTGAACTCAATAAAATTTATTTTATACCAGCATCATTACTACTCCATTATTTTCAAATCGAAATATTCCGAAAACAGAACATAGTATCGAGCTTCACCAAGGGTACTTTTTTGGTGTAAAATTGAATGATGTTCAAGTTCATATCACATTTGGATCGAAAAATCTAACCTCAAAAAAGTTATGTTCTAAACTACTCGGTACAAACCGTGTAACTAGCGCCCTCTATGAGAGTCAGACATAAAAACAAATTCATGCGATGTGCCAGATTTCAAAAAACATCCATACAAAATTTCATTACAATGTTGCCAGTAGTTCCGACAGAATCGTGAAAAATGTGTAAAAAAAACATTTTTTCAACACCTTGTATCTTGAAAACGGATGCCGTTACGACATTTTTCCACTGAGCAAACCCAACTTATTTTGCAGTGTTCTACCTACCCTAGCAAGGGGGTCAGTTTTTTTGAAACACCCTGTATAAATGAATTGGCCCCAATCACCTTATCGACCTGTAATACACGTGTATGTACCATGTACATGGTAGCTCTGTGTCCCAGTAATTTTGGGATACCCTGTATATATGTTTTCGTCAACTACTATGATGGCAGTAATTATTTTCATAAAAATCGACGATTTCAAGAATTTTGATAGATAAATTGTTGACATAAATTAGGTTGTTTGAACTCTTCAAAGTCAAAATTATAATGCCAATCGAACCGTTAGTAAACATGTAGGCTATTCAAAAAAATAAAGTTGGTGCCGACTTTTGGCACACTGTTTAGCTCGAACATTGAATATATTCCAGATTTTATTCATTTGTTGTGTCAACAATATTCCGCATGTTCCATCTATTGATCGTTTCTGATATTTCTTTTCTTATCATTTTTCCAGGACATAATGGATAGAACAAAAGCAGAACAATTACCAGTAATGCAAATAAATTTCATCGATTCGATTTGTATGCCCATTTATGAAGTAAGTACCTTTCTTTTTTTTTTCTAATGTCACTAACCATCAGCCACGGAATAGTATATTGTTTAACGAGTACGGAATGATAGTGACTTCCTATGAGAATGAAGTCGCCTATGGCTCATGCAGCAATCATTCGAGCAGGAAATTATCATTCCGTGCAAGTTATACACTATAATTTTTTCACGACTATAATAGAAACAGCGGCCTTTTTGGATTCCCACTGGGCAAAAATACATGCTAGTTTCATCACATTCTTGTAACCTTGATTACATGTTACGTTATGATATTGGGCACAATGAAGTATTCAGTTCCTCCCAGTAACGTTGAATGTCCTTCAACACAACAGAAGTCTCTCAACGTTACACAAAGTTCATCGTATTAATGAAACTTTTATGTTCCAATTATCATTATATTAACGTAACTATTATTTCAACTGAATAAAGATATTTCAACGTTCCTTTTGTTGACGTTATCGATTCAGAACTTTCACTACTTTCATGATGAAACTGTTACCACTATTCTAAACGTTATTGATCCATGTCTTTGTTGTCATATTTGTTACTCATTTTCACTGGGCGTTTCCCTAGTACTTTCACAAACTTCAGTTATCAGCTTCAATGGGCGTGTACACCTTTTAGTAGAACTTTTAACTCAAACCATGTTTATAATGATCCTTTTATACATAAATAATGATTGACGACATAATTCGATCGAAAAATTAACTGGAATGTTTTATTTTTGGACATAAATATTAGTACCTTCTGAAAACGGACCCTCTTATGACGTCGAAATCTCATCTCGCCATAGTTAAAAGAAAATACCAAACGCCCGACGGAGACTGAGGCAACTGATATATTAATTCTTTCAACTGTGATCTCGCGCCAATTCACTCTGTCAATAATCATGTATCATTCATCTCTGCCTGGAATAGTCTTGTTTCAGTATCAGGGTTTTGACGTCACATCATCGCCTCGTTTTCAGAGGTCCGAAAAATCGGGGATTTCAATAATTTTTTATAAAACGTAGGGAGCTCACAGCAAGAAACGGTTTGCGGTGGTGAGCTAGTTTGAGTGAGTTCTTTCGAATTATGAAATGAAATTATTTTGTGATATAAGCCCATTATCAAAGTAGGAATAAAACTGTTTTGTACCTACTATTTCATTCTTACTTTGATGAGTGAAACTAATTTCTGGAATTTGAGAATAATTAGGAAACTCCCTGTGAAAACATGAATATCAAATCTAATCGAGTAATAAAGTATTCCCAATAACATATTCAATATCATCATGAAATAATAAATAATAAATTTATTTCAGGTATGTTTCAATTTGATTAATGAATTCACTTTATTTGATATTTTTTCTGGATTTGTTTTTCTTCATCGCTTCTAATGATTAGAATTTTCAAAAATCAGAGGCCGGACACAAAATTTCTTGGCTTCGAGTATCTGAAATCAATTGTCATTAGCTTCTCAGAAAGTAACTATAAATTTCTAACTCCATCTGTAGTGATTGAGTCTTCACAGTTGGTAGAGGCAGGGCCTCATCAGTATCTTACTTGTAGACTGTTGGCCCGTGACACAGGGTTCATCGATGTTCTAAGTCGGTATGCCATTTAAGGGACCCACTCACTTAGTCCAAGTTAACAGGAAGGAATGCCTCGGAGAGTCGCTACCCAGTCCTTGCCCCGGCCCTGACCTCACATTTCGGTTGGAAAAAATTTCAAAATTTTGTTGCAAGAAGAAGCTCGGCAATGAAGTGCAATGATCTTATCTCACGAAAATTGGGGCCGGTTTGCATACGCCTAGGTCACTCCCCAAGGGCGGCAAACGAAGCGGAAGTGGCAATTTTTCAGTGTTATAGTCGATGATCTAAGAATGTATGCCCTTTGGCGAAACAATGAATTCGGACCAATTAATCAGTTTCCCGACATTTGCATACGATTCCGGAGAGGGGAGCTCGACTTATTCGAACATCAATTGACTAGACATCTTTCAAGTAATCGATGATTTAAGTTCTTATGCAAATCTCTGGACCGATAAACTAGGATATTCTGTATAACTGGATGCTATTTGCATACGAATTCAATGTGAGCATACGTTGTAATAATCGGGCAAACCCGCGCGTGCCTCGGTCCGGCGCGGCGCCCCGCACTGCAAGCTAGAGGTGCACCGAAAGCGATCTAGATAATCTGGAAGTCTCATCATCTCACTTCACATGAAACCGGGTGAAAGATTAACTTCCTGGGAGTGATGGGGGTATTCGAAGACGCAAATTGCAGATATATTTGTATATATTCATCAGAAATTTACAGCTCAACAAAATTACATGTGTGAGAGGTTTAGTACCAAGAAATTTTTTTGTGTGATTTTTTTTGAAAAACAGGGCTTTGAAAAGATGATGAAAAGAATTTACGACAAAATACTCAAGAGGGATCGTACAGGGAGAAGAGGGGTGGATCATTGCTCATGATCGAAACTCACAATAAATCGACTTGAAATTCTTTCCTGGGACTGCTCATCATAATACTGGCGTTTAAAAAATATATAAAGAATGTACATTCAATTTGTTGAATGTTTTGGGTATAGTGTGGGGTCTGTATCCTGAACTTTAATCTACATTTTTGTTTATCACTGGTAGGGGAGGTGGTAAGAAGTGAATAAATCTGTAATATTATGCATTATACAAAAGTGTATGGTTTTTGAGATATTTAAATATCGGATCTCCGATAAAAGGGAAAAACATTATTGAATGCCTAAGTCATTACGTACTACACTCTACCCGGCTGACGTATAGCAAATCATCGTTCAGATATGAAAATTGATTCAGCGAAAAAAATAAAATACTTCAAACCAGGGATTCATATTTCTGGCACAATTTGACAATTTGACACATGATCGCTATAAGAGTGCTGCGTGTAAATGATATCGCTAGATGCTGTAGAGCTGTATTCGTCATGATAATCTCTACGCGATAGTGAAATAAAATATTTATTTAAGGGTACTTCGTCCAACAGCTTGCGCCAATTACAGGACGGAAACTCAAACATAAAACAAGTGTATAAATCAACTAATACTAGAATAAACAAAGCCTAATTCAACTAACAAATTGATAGATTGATTAAATACATACAAACTATATGCATATACTTACATAACAAATATACTAGATAAAAAAAAAACTAATAACTTTGCACTAACAACTACTAATGCTAAGTACATCACAAAAAAAATATACGTATATATGATCAGGTATCATTATTCATTACAAACCTCCTGTGAGCTTGTCTGACGCACGTCAAAACTTGCCCCAGACTACTATGGTGGATATCACAGTCTCTACATATTTTATTAAAATTCGAACACATAATGTTTACAGGTGACTTCAACATTAAATTTGTATTTGCACGACTACATAGAAATTTTTGAGTTTGACGAGACCCAATTCGTGGAACAAAAAAGTTTATTTTTGAAACAATATCTGGACAATCAATTTCATGGTGTACTATTTTGTATAAAAATGTTACTGACATCATTATTCTGCGAAGCTCAAGACTGCTGAATTCAAAAATGTCCAGTGTATTCTTATAATTTTGTCCCCTAGGTGGATATACACCAGTAGTTTTGTATATTAGGAATTTCAAGAATTTTCTCTGTACTTTTTCTACTTTATCACTATCAACCTGGTAGTGTGGATTCCAAATCATGGATCCGTATTCAAGCTTCGATCTTACAAAAGAATAGTATAATGTTTTCATTACTTGCATATCCGTAAATGATCTACAGCTTCTGATTATGAATCCAAGAATTTTAAGAGCCTCATTAGTTTTATTGTCTATGTGCTCAATGAAACTCAAATTACTATCAAATATGATTCCTAAGTCCCTAGTAGAATTCTCATGAACTATTGCTATATCATTTATTACATAATGATATAGAACTGGATTCTGATTTCGATTATATGATACAGTTTTACATTTTGTCGCATTCAATTGTAGTCTATTTGAATTCCACCAATCACTGATAATATTCAAATTGTTTTGTATTTCCAAACAATCATCAGCTGATTGCACATTTTTGAATATTTTCAAATCATCTGCAAATACCAGTTTCTCACACGTCAGTGCGGCGCACAAGTCATTTATGAACAAGAGAAAAAGTAAGGGTCCAAGATTTGATCCTTGAGGAACTCCAGAGCTGGCTGTGTATGGCAAAGACGCATGTCCGTTATATGTAACATACTGCTCCCTTTTATGTAGATACGAGCGAAAGAAAGATCATTTTGTTCGATAATCCAAAATAATGAAGTTTTTTCAGCAGAATATCATGATCAATCCGGTCGAACGCTTTAGAAAAGTCAGTGTATACTACATCTACTTGTCCCTGCTTATCCATTATTTCAGACACATATTGAGTGAAGATAACTAGATTTGTATTAGTAGAGCGTTTTGGCATAAAACCGTGTTGATATGTGGATATTATATTGACAGTACATTTTTGGATATGATTATGTATCACTATTTCGAAAATTTTTGCGAAGTTGCATAGTAAGGACAATGGTCTATAGTTTTCTACTTCTGCTCTATCACCAGCCTTAAAAATAGGACATACCTTGGTAATTTTCCATTTACAGGGGAAGTTGGCAGTTTTGAGAGACATATTGAACAGTTTCATGAGTGGAATAGCCAAAGCAAATCTACAATCTTTGATAATGAATGCTGGTATAAGATCTGGACCAGATGTCATTTTATTTTTGAGTTTTTTTATGATGACATTCTCTACTTCGTTGACAGTTATATTTCGTATGTTTATATAATAGTGTATATAGTAATATATAGTGTTCTAGTAAAAAAAAACTACCTCATAGTTCATTTGTTATGAACAGACTGTGAATTTTTTAATAACAATGAAAAATCTCTTAGGAAAATCATTTTAATAGGTTTTTGAAATTTTAAAATCGGTTCAGAAACAACTGAGTTACAATGGGAGATATTTATGGCGAACCACCCTGTACGGAATGTGCAAATTGTATGCAAACCATCATCCCATGTATACTGTGTGGTCCACTAACCATGGTCAAATTTTGAACATTTCTTCGATTATCGATTATTTGAAGGATATCCAGTCAAATGATGTTCGAATAAGTCGAGCTCCCCTCTCCGGAATCGTATGCAAATGTCGGGAAATTGATCAATGGGTCCGAATTCATTGTTTCGCCAAAGGGCATACATTCTTAGATCATCGACTATAACACTGAAAAATTGCCACTTCTGGTTCGTATGCCGCCCTTGGGGAGTGACCTAGGCGTATGCAAACCGGCAAGCGCCCCAATTTTCGTGAGATAATATTATTGCACTTCATTGCCGAGCTTCTTCTTAAACAAAATTTTGAAGTTTTTTCCAACCGAAAGGTGAGGCCAGGGCCGGGGCAAGGACTGGGTTGCGACTCTCCGAGGCACTCTTTCCTGTTAACTTGGGCGGGCCAACAGTCTATTGACTTTTTCCACACATTTATTGGTTTGAATAGTCACCTATATTTTCCAATGCATATTGTCCTCTTCATCAACTGATTTGTTTAGGTAGAGTCCGACCACGGTAACTTTGGGACAGCATGTGACGCAACGCATATGCATATTCAATGCATACGCGACCACGTGCTGTCCCAAAGTTATCGTGGTCGGACTCTAGGTTTTCACAATATCATTGGGATTCCTAGAACGAGTAACGAATTCAAGCATAATTTCTGCTGATAAATTTTCAAGTTTTTTGTTTCTTTCTTGTGTGTTTATTTGTAGTAACTCAATGATAGGTAGGTATACCTACTTATAGTTCATTTGAACATCAGTACTGAGGAAAATTTCTAGTTGCCATAGGTAGAAATCGAATTATCCCAGCACATGCCAGAATATATGTTCAGGCATCTCTCTCTAAACAAATGTGTTTACCATACAACCACAGCATAAATGCTGTGATACAACTGATAACAGAGACATGATGGATATTCGAGGGGCAAAACAAAGAATCTGAGAAATCTTCAACATCAATAATCATGATTTATGTCAGTCCTCATCACAAAATCACCTACCTATATCAAATCAATGTGAAAGTCTTGAGAGGTTCATTATTGAGGTACTTTCCCAAGTTGTTTTCAATATAATAGTCCATAAACAGGGTGATTCACATAAGAACCGACATAGAGCAGGGAGGTCCCAAAATATGGCAATTTAACGCAACTTTCCTCTATAGGTACCAAGTTGCTTCCCTAAGGAGTTATAGGCTTTGAAAGTGAAGTTATAAATTTTGAAAAAAATTAATATCTCCGTTATTCTTGAACTTGAAGCAACCAGAGTTGGATGTATTTAGGGCGTTACTTGACAGTAACTAGAGTTTAATTGAAATTTGTAAAGGGGTATACCGGGTGGCGCACCAATAATATTCAACAGAATTTTGTTAACCCTCGATAGATTTCAAAAATATTCGCTTTGTTGTGTGGGCAATTCAATTCTAAAACTTTTCTTGGTATAGTAATTCTTCAAAAAACCCCATCATTTTCATCAAAAACTCGAATAACTGAAAACGCGCGCTCTAGGTGTTATTTGAAATCATCGAAAATTCAGAAGTTGGCTATGAAAATAAACGTACAACAAGAAAGTAGGTTCTTAATTGTGATCAGTAGAAATTGGCTGGCAAATTATTATTTAGATACGTAAAGTAAGGACAGATACTGAAATGTGAAAAACTGGGATTAACAACTAACCAAAATAAACACAAAAAACTTGAACAGCAACCAGAACAAACAATTGTTTATCGATAAAATACTCAATTGAACAACTTACTTGCTTCATTGTCAAGTTTGACGTTTATTTTCATAGCCAACTTTTGAATTTTCGATGATTTTAAATAACACACCTAGACAGCACGCGTTTTCAGTTATTCGAGTTTTTGATGAAAATTATGAGATTTTTCGAGAAATTACTAGACTAGGAAAAGTTTAATAATTGAATTTCCCACAAAACAAAGCAAAGATTTTTTAAATCCATCAAGGGCTAACAAAATTCTGTTGAATATTAATAGTGCGCCACCCGGTATACTCCCTTTACAAATTTCAATTGAACTCTAGTTACTGTCAAGTAACGCCCTAAATACATCCATAAAGTGCACCAAATTTGGTTGCTTCAAGTTCAAGAATAACGGAGATATTGATTTTTTTCAAAATTTATAACTTCACTTTCAAAGCCTATAACTCCTCAGGGAAGCAACTTGGTATAGAGATAAGTTGCGTTAAATTGTCATATTTTGGGACCCCCTACATGCCCCTGCTCTATGTCGATTCTTATGTGAATCACCCTGTATATCTATCCTAGTCCGGGTCCAAGTTACTTTTTCATATGCCTGCTGTTGAGTACCTACTGCTAACATGAATGTTTTATATCTGGAACAGCATATAATAATTATTGGTATATTTAGGTAGCATACTTAATATGTGATAATTAAACACGGAGATTCACACTGTTCTAGAAACTGACCTAACCTACAAATTCAATAAAATTTTCGACATACCTTTAGTTGTTTTGATTGAAATTACCAAGGTATTCCTTTATCCCACAGAAGGTTATTGCCTTGCTCATTTTAAGGGAAATATGGATAATTTCCAAACAGGGGCTGTCGAGAGTGTCGAATGTCTAGCGTCCGTCAATGCATCATGTCATAATTCAGAACCACAGAATGAGCTGTGACAGAATCACAGAAATAAATATGAACTCTGGAACTCACCTTTATCACAGTTATAATAACCACAGTCGTAACACTTTCAATTTACAATTTGTATCAAACACTGAACGAGAAATAGACAAAAAACAGCACAATGCAATGAAAGCACTTTCGATCCAAAATGGCGACTAGTTCTATGTAATCCTTGTCTTTAATGAATAACATAAGTTTTACACTTCAGATGATCTATTTAGTGTCCTAAAATCCTGAAAAATACATTCTGGAGTATTTGAACAAAACGGGACAATTATATAGCTTTTTTCTATTTTTGTTCACACTTTTGTTGAAGTTGAACGTGAAACATATCTGTTACTTATCCGATTCGAAAACAGCGTCGTTAATGTGATCGTTTTTTGAAACCTCAAAGGAACGACACTTTGTTTATTATAAAGACATAACACTAGAGACGAAACACGGTAGTGGCAAGAAAAACGTTTCGGTATCGTTGCATAATGGGACGTTCGAATTGCACATGATATATTCGCCATTGTTACGTGCTTTCGAAGAGTAACCATTGTTAATTTGAAAATAACGTCAGAAAACATCTTTTTCATGTTCTTTGCCCAGTGGGTTTCCTGTCAAGTAATGCGCATTTATTAGACAGAGCCGTCATTGCTTAAAATTCGAGTAATTCGACATTCCATGGGCGATGAGTTTTCTTTCAAATAGAGTCATTGTGATATCAGATAGAAAAAAATTCGATGATGAATGAAATAGTTACGGGGGGGGGGAGGGGGGGTCAAAATAAACGTGAAGACCCTGTACATGAAATAATAATTCGAATGACAAAGTTCAATTTACCGATAATATCGGTAATTGCTCTTCCACTTAACCAGATTGGATTGATTGACTGATCCCGATTCTCTTGCAGGCCTTCGCAGACCTATCAGACACCCTTCACCCTCTGCTCGATGGGGTCAAGCAGAACAGGGTGCATTGGCTGGAAGAAGCGCAAAAAGCTCATCTGGTCCCGGACGAAGAAAGCGATCCGGAAAGGGACGACAACGACAACGTGTCGAAGGGCGACAGTCCCGATCAGAATCACAGAGGATCGGCGTTGGAAAGCGACTAGTTCGGGTATCAAACAAATACACTCATTGGCAAAAAAAAAACGGTCGAATTGGTCGCCCTGTAACTTTTTTAGTCCTTGTCCGGTTTCGAATTTATGTTTCGCAAAGTTAGCCTGAATTTTAGTTCCCAAAAAAAGCTGATGGCTTGATCATTATACAGAAAAAAACTATAATTTCACGGTTAACTTATCAACGATCTGTGGTAAAAGTGAGTGATCAAACTCAGAGCCACTAGATGGTATTAATTAGATGAGAGTTCAACATAGCTGAATTTTTGTCCTTTTCTATTTTATATATTTTACAATGGTTTGAGTGAATAACATAAAAAGATTTTTGGGTGTATGATAAATTGACGTTCATCATACAGGGCGTGGAAAGAAATTCTGAATTGAGACTCTATCACGAATCTGCGATTAGAAGTCTATAAAAATCACAAGTTTCCATCGTTCAAGTTTGAACCCCCTGATTGGGTATGAAAGTGTTGAAAATGAATATTCTCAGATAAATTATGAACATACAAAAATGTATATATATTTATATAAAGCAATACATTGAAAATTCGCATTCTCTATGTGATGAGAATATTTACTCTTTCTCAGTTGATTCAATAAAAAACAACTACTTTCCTGGCTATATGCCACGACGAACATTGAACTATATCTATTGAACACACACGATAAGAGATTGGTGAGTTATATTTCTATATCATTATACATCATATTATTCATCCGATTTGAAGAAGAATGTCAATTCTCAATTTCGGAGGATTTTATTCTTCATTTTTCATAATCTCCTTTTGAATGTTCATCAGATATAATTCAATGTTCGACGAGGCAAATAGCCAGGAAAGTAGTTGTTTTCTGTTGAATATTCAGAATGATGTGTGCATATACATATTTTTATCTGAAGGAGAATGCAAATTCTCAATTTCAGAAGTTTTTATATTTTATTTTCAAACTCTTATCGTGTGTGTTCAATAGAGATAATTCAATGTTCGTCGTGGCATATAGCCAGGAAAGTAGTTGTTTTCTATTGAATCAACTGAGAAAGAGTAAATATTCTCATCACATAGAGAATGCGAATTCTCAATGTATTGCTTTATATAAATATATATCCATTTTTGTATGTTCATAATTTATCTGAGAATATTCATTTTCAACAACATAAAAAGACATTATATTCTGCTCTTTGTCTTTTCCATTTTCCTGGTAGCGCCTGATTGTTAAATATGCTTTTAGAGGTTGGATTTTTTGTCAAATCTATCATTGTCGTTGATGAAAAATAGAAATAGGTTATACAGTGTGGTCATTTAAGTGTGCAACATATGGGAATCTTTTTAATGAATTGCACAAGCAAAATACAGATAGTGCCGACAGTTGGTGCATGTTCGGTTATCATTTTAGGTGCACTTGAAATGGTTGCAAGTCACACAGCATACAGGGTAGGTCAAAAAATATAAAAATTGCTGAAGAGTAAAGTACCCTTATTTCAGAAAATTCAGCAAAATGTTATTGGGAGAAGTTGTTTACAATTGAAAGTTATGCCTAAATACCAAAACATGGCCTCCTGAGACATTTTTCAGTTTTCCAATTTCTTTGGTGAATAATTTCCCAATTTGTAATTTTTTATATTCACCCTGAATACTTTCATGAGTTAATCATAACAAAATCAGTTGAGCATACTTTCGTTCAAATTCAAGCATATTTCTGCAATTAACTTGGATTTTAATTTTCTTAGGGAATCACAAACTTTATGTTTGCTGCAACGATATTCAGCTCAACTTTAAAATTTCGCAAACCATATTTTCAACAAGGTGAAACATGACTAATGATAATATAAATATTCAAAAACTTCCATTTCATGTGAACATTTTGTATTTAAAATATTACAAATTGAGAAATTATTAACGAACAAAATTGAAAAACTGAAAAATGTCTTAGGAGGCCATGTTTTGGTATTCAGGCATAACTTTCAATTGTTAACAACATTTCTTCATAACATTTTGCTGAATTTTCTGAAATAAGGGTACTTTACTCCTGAGCAATTTTTATATTTTTTGACCTACCCTGTATGCTGTGTGACTTGCAACCATTTTAAGTGCACCTAAAAAAAATTATTACCGAACATGCACCAACTTTTGGCATCATCTGTATTTTGGTTGTGCAATTCATTAAAAAGATTCCCATATGTTGCACACTTAAATGACCACACTGTATACACCCCCCTCAATTCATGAACTGATACACTTTTTGTAGAACAGTAGTAATGAAAATGAAAATGATTCATGTAATAACATTTTTATATGACAAAATAAGCACATAGCTAGTTCCTTATTGTATATGTAAAACTTTACCAGAGTGATAAAGTTTAAAACATGAAGATTGTTGAATTTCCACCCTTTGCTACATTAAATTTTTACTGAAAATTTTTGAATTTGGATATTATATCATGTTTCAATTTACTTGATTTCTTCAGTTTCGTTCTCATATTTTCAATTTTATTACATAGTTTTGCAATCAAATCCTCTTTCTCTATGATCATTTTGTTTTGTGCATTTCGTCTCATGATAATATTGGAATTTTTCTCAATAGTCTGTTTCGTAAATCAATGGAACAACGGATCTTATAAATCGCTTCTGTTTGAAAATGGTAATGAAATATAGTTTCATTCCAGTCTGCTATTATGAGAAGTGAATTTTGCTTGTCTTCAAATTTATTTTCCATCCAGGCCGTTTCATACATTCCTTGTAACTGGGAATTGATATTTCCTTTGGAAAATTAAAGAAATGAGATCGACATTCCCTCCAGAATTCCCGCAATTCATTACACAGCAGGACATTTTCATTTATGCTTTTTTCAATTCTGACGTTCATAAAATTTATTGTCAAATTCAAACAATTTAGAATGGAAATGCGCGGAACGACTATGATGCTGTTGTCACAATGCAAGATGTGTAACTTGATAAATCTAAACATTCAAAAACACTAACAGTTGTCATTTCTGTGTCCGAACTGTCATCTAACTAATACCATCGAGTTGTCACTAATCAAACTTAGCTTCATCATGTTTTGGATTGACGTGTGATCCCTTCTTGACACAATCGTTTTTGATTCACGTCAATAATCTTCCTTTTAAGAGAAATGTTTCAAGTAAGTATGGAATTTTTAGATCTTTATTAACAATAATTCAGAACCTATGAAGCATCTTTGGGATGAATTCCAGAAGCTCATTCGTTTTTGTCTAGCCTTGCCAGACACTTTTCAAGAGATACGATTCGACCGTCAGGAAGAATATGAGTTTGAATTGCTTGAGAAATTTGATCAATTCTCATTCGACTATATTAAGTAGGTATGTTTGTGATGTGTTTTGTAATAGAGGTTATTTTAGCCGGTGAGTGCAAAAACGGTGTGGGAATAAGCGATATTGGTTGTTTTTTCAAGTTGTTAATCGATGAGTTTATGTAGGATCCGCATTATTGTTCATGAAAATTGAGAAAATCCATACTTTTCTAAAACACTTGTATCACTTCTCAGAAAGAAGATATTAACGAAATCAAAAACCGTTCAATACAAATCATCATGATTCTAAGTTGAATCACTTACTTTTGCCACAGAGCATTGAGTAGTCGATGCAAAAGAGTAAATTTTGCTTTTTCTTATATAATGATCAAGCCATCAGCTTTTTTGGTCGAAATTTAACGAAAATCGTACAAAAATTTAGTCGCAGGGCGAACATTTTGCAAAAAAAATTCAGACCAGTTTTTTTGCCGTTGACTGTATAAATAGGATCACTGTAAAATGCGCATCTCCTATGGGATTTTTGAAAATAATTTGTTTCGGCGGATTTGGAGTTCATGAACAGTTTTTGCTTTGAACACAATACGAAATGGCGTAGCCCCCTTACGAGCAACCCTCAGAAGTCTTCGAGAGTCTGCACCTGCATAATACTATTCCTAAACAAGAGTTATACTGAAAACGCAATCGTTTGATGATTGTTCTTCATTTTCAAACTTTAAGTTAGATTTGATCTCATGTATTTAGAGTTTTGAACACAGTTTTCACTTGAACCTTATAACCAACACGTTTAATATTTTTTCAAATATAACCTAACCTAACCTAACCTGACCTAGAGATTCTGTTCATGAACATCAAATTTACGTGAACTCCTGTGAATTCCCATATATGGTGCGGACTTCAATGGTGACATATTGTACATGTAAATATTTATATTGACAAGACTATTTATTAAAATACTTTTGATTCGAAGACTTGAAGTGATCGGGTGTCGATTGTCTCGAATAAGTGAAAACAATGGAAAGAAAATTTAGAACCAGACGAAAATATCGATGTTTGGAATTTTCTTACCTGCGGCAATTCTAATATTCATTTAGAAACTGACAAAATCATTCAAATTCGAAATCAAAAATGTGTTAGAGTACTAGTCCGATTTTGGGACGGTCTGTTCCATGTTGTAGAAAAATTTATTAGGAATAAGGTTATTTACTTCAACTACAGGGTGAAAAATTCGATCAAAATTATGGCGCAGTTGCAGCTTGCGGAGTTTTATACGATTTTGAAGAATAAAAGAATTAAACCTTCTGATTGAAAATACAGTTTGAATTACAACATCATTTCTACTAACTTTGAATTGATTTTGATTGAATTTCACAGATTTAAAGAGAAAATATTATAACAACTCGTGATACATCGTTGGACATTTATACCAGTGTTTTCCAAACCGGTTATTTTTTTTTTATTTTCAAAATCAATGTTTGCAGTATGTCCATTGATGAAAAATTATCGAAACCGCATCAGAGGTTCAGAAAAAAATTGAAAAATATTTTTTTTGCGGCGAACTTGCACTTCTTGAGTAAAAAAAATTTCGTCCAATCAGTTTATTTTCAGTACACAATTTCCCTCAGTGTACTGGTAAATTTGCCATCGAATTGATAGAAAATCATAGGTACAGGGTGATTCGCCATAAATGTCCCTCCCCTCTAGCTCAGTTATTTTTGTACCGATGGCAAAATTTTGAATATCATCTATAATGATTTTCGATAGAGATTTTTTCCGCTACATCAGAAGATACAAGGTGCTCGGAACAAACGATCTACAGGGTACTATTTGATTTTTCAAATGGAACACCCTATTTCGAATTGTATTTTCAGATTCTCCCTGAAGAGCTGATTTCATCAATGCATCACACTTGGGGTCTAGCGAAAATGATTACAGAGATATAGGGTGTTCAAAATCGAGATTTTTCAACTTTAAGATTTTTCTGAGACGAAACTATTCATTATCGGTCAAAACGGAGTTCCTGTCCTTTTCCTCACTTTTTATTTACTATCTACTGACATTTAATAATTGGAACAGATACAGGGTGATCAGAATTCTGAATCTTGAACCACACGGTATATGTTCCAATTAAATGTCAGTAGATAGTTAATCAAAAGTTAAGATAGGGACATTGGAGCCGTTTTGACCAATAATGAATAGTTTCGACACAAAAAAATCATAAAGT